TAAGGGGAGAGTCTGGTTCTTGGTGTAGGTGCTTTTAATTTTTGTCGATTGTTATGATATTCCTGTCATCATTCAAGGATAATATGTACTTCAATTCTAGCCCCATAACCCCCTTCTGCCCTTTCAAAATTTTCAATCCTTTACACATTTTTCTAAATTTTCAAGGTAAAATTTCACCATTACCTCTTTCTATCTTGCCTTGAAATTGATAGTACAATGAGATCTAGTATTGTCATTGAATATTACAAGTGGATATGTTTGTTTTTGTCTTTGGTTTTAAAGATAAAAAAATTTCAAATTTGGTTGAAATTTTTGTCAAAATATCGAAATTAAATATTCAACCAAAAATAAATATTACAAGATAGAACAAATTAGAATCTGTTGTTATGTTGAGGAAAGGTTCTTCCTGTGCTGAGTGTTTGTTTCATTGAAATCGGTCAGAAACTGGCAGAGAACTTAATCTGAGTGTTGGAAAAATTCATTTTGAGATATAGGCCAAAAAGGTTTCTCAACCTTTCTCCCCTATGTAAGTGCTCATTTTGAGCCAATTTTACATTTTTTTGTGTGTGTGTGTGTATTTCTACATCTCTAACTAAGCTCCAGTTATATTCTTTATGTAAGGTAGAGGGGAGGGTTGGAAGGCTGGGGCTCAGGCGTCCCCGAGACAGCTGTTACCATCGTTTGTTTTAGCAAATATTTTCTTCTTTCATCCGATTGGATTTAGCAATGTTGGCACGTGCTTCCTTTAGTTGTCTTTTATGTTTTGAATTACATGCCATCCTGATATTCGAGGAGAGAAGCCTGGTACAGCAGTACAAGTGAGGTGCAGCAGAGTACACACCTCTCCTTCACAAGCTCCAGGACCAACTGATGACACTTGTTTCTACCTCCCTATACTTGCCAGAGAAGAAGAGAGTTGCCTGAAATGAATTTCTAAGGTTTTTTTGTGCTATTTATTCCATATTTTCGGGGAAAAATACTTTACCACGATCATTCATGTCTACCGAAGGGGACGTAGGAAGGTTGGGGGCGTTGGGGGACCCACACAAAACTGCATAAATATTATGAATATTGCCATAAAACTCCTTCCACACACGGCCATAGACAATACCTTTCCTCATGAATTTTTTTTCATATTTTATGATTTTTATTTTTATTTTTCATCGATCTAAGCCAGATGACCCCTTTAAAAAGAGTCATCTTGTTGCCCAGAAATCTCTCATTCCAGGAAGTGCTCTGCACCAATTGTTCCCGCTAAAAGAGATATCACTTGTATATTGTAATATTTGGAAATACCTCATATTTCAAAATTTTACCAAGCATTACAAAATTTGTAATAACTAAAAAACATTACGAATTATGAGTGATTCCGAATTTGAGTGATACACATTATGGTGGTTTTACTGTACATTGTACTGACAACTTGTCATGGTTTAGTCAACACTTACTTTTGAACTCCAGCAAACTGGTATAATGGAAACCCGACTTCAATAAGTAACACAAAAATTATACCAACTACATACTGAACCCTCAGTGGAATGACTTGTCTCCATGTCCTACAGCTGTGACATTGGCCTTGACCTTGACAATAGCACTTTAAATAATACAATCTTCTCACATAATGAAAATTTTTAAATAGAAAGGTATCTCTCCCGTAACCCTCTGTGCAGTCCATGTGACAAGATATGTCACATGGTCATACACGTACACACACGGTCGTAAGAAATTATTATTCTCTTTATGTTTTTGACCTTATGATAATAATTTCTTTTATTTTTTGCACATTCTGTATAAACGATTGTGTATGCATGTAACAATAAAAATATGCATATCTACTCGAAATTATGAGTTGAAAAATAACAATAACACAGCTTTGTCTGGGAGAAGAACTCGGGGGATGTAACTACAGGGATAATCTAACTAGGCGACGCGCACGCACGCACAAGCACGCACGCACACACCCACACACACACACACACACACTCTTCATATTTCTTATTTTATAGCAACATATTCTTCAATATATAGGTACACTCCATATAATGCAATAAAATAACTACAATACCATAAAAATAATACAAAAGAGCATTACATGTACAGAATACGAAAAAAATTATTATAATGTACTAATGTGTTTCAACACAGAACAGAAGATCAATTTCAACACAAGACAATATCTATCACAAAATTTGAAAGACAAACTTTGGATACCAGAGGCTTTATAAAGTACTGCATAAATAATACCAATAAAGGAGGTGATTGGAGCACCTTTGTTTATTCTTGATAACCATTCTCTTAATCTTTCTCCTTATTTAGGGAATCTTCACACTGGCAACCCTGTGTGCAGTTGGTGAGTAATCTAATTAAATAACTTGTTTGACTTTCTAAGGTCACACTCAAGTTAGAACCTTGGAGTTTTGGTTTTCACCCCTTACATAAAATTTGCTGCCTGTCAAGGTGCTAGATCCAGATGTAAGGTTATATAAAGAGTGAAAAATTCAGTTATGTATGGTAGAAGGAAGAGGGGAACTTAGGAGATGGAAGGTTAGGGCTAAGATGTACTAGTTAGAAGTGAGTGAGATGGATATCCAGGAAGCAGCAGTGTGAATGAATAAGCAGAAAGCATGATGACCAAGTATTTTTTGGGGGGAAGGGCATGCAACTGATGGGTGATGCTGGCTTGTGTGAAGCAACAGGTGAAAATGAAATAATGGCAGGAAATAAATGGGATATGTGCAAGTACTTTTTTACTTGTCTCCAGCAACCTTGCATTAAGTGAGAAAAAGTTAAGAAGTTTTTAGTGTGTGTATTCCTTAAAGAGTACAAACACCCACTGAGAATAACTTAATGAGAAAGTATAAATAAAATATTTTCATGCTATCAGTACCAAAAGTTTTTAAAGCCAGAAAAAAACATAAACATCATCTCATAATAAGTATGTATCTACACCATGAAATGTAGCAATTAATCAAGAGGTAAATTAGATCTATAACTTACCTTTATAGAGCAATAGCTACCAGCTACTATAACATCACACATTGCAGTGACATATTATAATCTAAAAAAATAAATAAATAAAATAAAAACAATCACAATTGAAGAAGGGATTTCCTTTCATGATGTGAGCAATAATTACAAATCAATAACAGACTAAGATAACAAAAGATGCTTAGATAATAAAATAAAAATATAAAAGAGGAGTGCAGCACCATTCAAAAGTTTCCTCAATACAGTCACAAATTTTTCTTAATACTTCATAAACAGCAAACCACAATACTGAACTCAAGTATATAAAACAGGTTAATATATACGAGCGATCTACTGTGGATGTAGAAGCTACATCTCAGTATGTGTCCACCCAATGTGGCATTTTACAAACTAAAACAAAAATCGACTGAATTACAAAACTAAAGTTACCAACAAAATGCTCAAACTGGGAAGACCTGAACCTGTTTGGGAAGAAATTTCATTAAGTACAACACAGTTATCAAGAATATATAAAATATGCTTGTTTAGGTGCATATTATACCTAGTACACTGATGCAGAAGACCTGTTATGCATCATGCTTTTCATATAAAAACAATATATCTATTAAAATCTAAATTATTAAATAAATTGTTTCATTCAAGATACAACTATAAAGATGAACCAAATAAGAAAGTGTGTCTCAGGACTCACCTGAAGGAGTTTTCACTTGTATGAATGCTAGATTTTTACACCAATCTTAATTTTCAACGAACAATTCTAAAATACCCAATCCTTGTCATTTTGAATGTAATTCCTGTATTAAGATCCCATTCAAAATCTTATGTTAGTTACCTACCACTATCATATTACTGTACTGGACATCTTTTTAATATAATCCTCGACAGCCAAGTCCACCAGATGGTGTTGTTTAGGGTAAGACTATAGAGTAAGATGAATCATAATACTGTCCATATTAACATTATTCTTATAACTGTTGGGATCTTTTGGATAATTTACAGACCAGTGACATTGTTAGAGTTGAAGGAACCCCGCTGAGGATGCCCAGTTTAGCAAGTGCTTAATTTCTGACTGCTGACCACCAGGAAGGATAAATATTAGTAGTAACCTTCCCGGCACACACTGAAAAAGTAATTAAAAACCTTCCACTTACTTTCCAAAGGAAGAGGACTAGAAGTATTACTTGGAATGACGAAACCTATTTTAAAGTCTCTGCATTTATGATAAAAGTTCAACGGAATGTCTACAGTCAGGGCCATTTCCGACTTGTGCCACCCATGTTTCTCCTTCTTCTGACAACACAGACACTAAGCATCGGCCACAAGAACTGTCTGTCTGTCTATAACCCAAAAGTGTTTCTACTGCCCATGTGTTTATCTTGTTTTCATTAGTCTATTAACCAGTCTCAGCCCCACCAAGGATTACTTTTCCAATCCACATACAAGTCAATTTGGGGAATAGGAGGCCAATGGTCTTTTATGTGTTCCAAAAGACGGCGACTGTCACTTTTTAACGCATCTGAATAAAGGCCATAATGATTGGGTTGGTCCTTTGCATCCTTTTGAAATCCAACAGCCACTGTCTTAAAATTTACAATATTTTTTAAGTACTGTATGGAGCTTATGTCCCATGATATGTCACTGCAAAATTTAAGTCTAGTAATGAAGAATGCTCAGCCCCTTGACCGCTAATGAAAGAGGCATGTTTCTCAGACAGCCTGAAGCACATGGTAAATAGTCACAAGAGTCAGGTAATAGGAAGTGTGTGGCTGATTCACCAACTACTGTATCAGTCACTTTCTAAAATTGCTACCATCTGATATTGGAGCAATCGGCTCCTTGACTGATAAAACAGTCACTGTTTTGGGGGTATTTAGTGTTAAGAGCCTGATTACGGGGGAATGCTCAGCCCCAATATCCAATAAACAGTCACTGTTTTGTTTATGATAGTTGCCAGAGTAAGATATTTGGGAGCAGGCGAGTGTGGCCGAATAAACTAAGCACGGGGGGCACACCTATCGGGGGTGAACTTCCAGGCCGACAGTTCATTCTGGGTCTCCTCCATCTTGGTGCGAGCTGAGTCCAGGTCACGTTTGAGCCTCTCAAACAGCAAGTTGACGGCTGGGTCCAGCAGGCAGTGTTTAAGGCCTCCTACACCCGCAGACATAGTCTTCAGCTCCTGTACCTGCGCCTGAACAACAGAAACAGTACAGTATTAGTGTTTAAAATTCATCATCTTCTATGGTATGATTATTGCATAATACAATGCAGTAGAGTTTCATTCTTACTAGTTTCAGATACATGGAAAAGAAAGACAAATAGATTAAAAATGACCATATAATTCAGTAAACATCAAACAAGTACTACTCATTTTACATATCATTCTAGATAATCTACAACAAGAATCAACATATGATATACAGTATTGCACAATCATTCAAAAACACTAAATTGCCAATAAGCAAAAACGTAAAGAGTAAATCTAATTAACTTTCATAATCTCTAATCCAATTGGTACAGGTATACATGAAAAACAAACCATAAAACAACTACACCAGTCAGTTCTATTATCACAAACCCTCACCACAAATATCCATTTTCATAAACACTTTCATACATACAGTATTATTGTTTACAAATATTTCTCATACAGTACGTTTTTTTTTAACCTTCTCGCGAGGACCAGATTCCAATATTTTGCACTCACGTTTCACTCAAATCTTCCACACCTCTTATCTAAGTACATTAACATCATAATGATACTATACATCTCCTTTAAGAAACCACTTAAAACTTGTAAAAATATTTATATATAATACACTGCGAGGTTTTTTTAAATGCACTTTTACCACTTCTGCATTTTCAAATTTACTCCTTGGGTTATATTCCAATTGTGTTTTTCCTTGGTGGTGTTATTACTGGCAGTGCCAGCATGTGAACTACAGTCAGGCTTATCCTGCGCAATTTGTAAAACAATTACAGTAATACCCATTGCAGAATACATCCACTGGTTAACCTTGGGTGCTCTTTACACTTTCAGGTAAAATATTAAGTCTGTCTTTTGTAATACAGGTACTCCCCGACTTACGACCGACTCGACTTTCGTCCACCCGCACTTACGACCTGCCTCAGTCGTACCAAAATGTGGTCAAATTATGTATTTTTGAGTCCCAAAGTCAGTACACAGACAAAATTTTCATCTGTAATTCACTTTAAATTGGCTGGCAAGCTTAAAAGTGAGTGTTTTGTGGTGCTGAGAAGAAAAAGACACCCAAATTTTCGATTTTCTATGTGTTATTTAAGCATTTCCGACTTACGACCATTTCGACTTACGACCTGGATGTTGGTCCCTAACCCCGTCATAAGTCGGGGAGTACCTGTATACTGTACTGTACTATAGATTGTTTCTATAACATATTCATGACACTTTCACTTACTTTACACATCTGCAATATTACATATATTTAGTAACATTTATGCAATTTCTATTAAAAGTCAAGGAGTGAATTTTCCGCTTAATATACTGAATACAGTACCCTCAACCACGTAGCTTGAACTTTATTTTAATCAAAGGCATTGCATAAGCAATTACAGTCAAGCGTACATGTTACAAGACAAAATGCAAGTACAGGGCCTCATTGGATATTTCCTTTGTAATCTGGGAAGTCTACTCTTTTTAAACTCTTTAGACAATTTGTATCTGCTTAACTATTGTTTAATTCTGGGAATACTGCCAACTCGATAAGGAAAGGGTCTGTTGCACATGCCCTCTAATCCTGTGGCCTTTAGATACTACAAAAATGCTCCCAACAAATTACCAGTAGATGACTTGGGACGGTACACTGAATTTCCCAAAGCTTTTGTGATTTAGTCCATTTATTGGGAACTGTTAGAAAAAAATTGTTTTCAGAGATGAAATCTTACCTGTTTCATTAAAGAAGTGGGTTCCAAGGTTAATGGTCTTCATTCGTGAGGACTAGGTTCAAATACACCATATAGCAGTGCTGCATTATATTACGTACGATACCTAGTCCTCAAGCCGTATGAGACTTGGATGCCCACACAGCTACTGAAGCTTTGTCCATCAATATTTCCAAGGAGATCTTGTCAGCTTCATTTTCAGGTTTCTTACAAACACTTGTTCCATAAATTTCAAGCTCATGCTTCCAATGATTAAATGAATTTTCTGAATCAATTATCCACGCACTTTATTTTTCTGTATACGTAGTTAAATGCTATCCAGAATAAAACTTCATTTTCTTACAACCTGAGTTTTCTATATAATATATACGGAGTTCATCTCAAAGACAAAAGGACAAAGCTTTGAGCAAATGAATTTAATTTATAATATAATACGAGTAACCTACAGGATCGGTTCCACAGAAGAAAAGCGTTACGATGCGGACAACAAACATTTTCCAGCCAACACTGTAAACATCTATGACCAAATTCAATGCATTTTTCTTTCTGTCTAAAAAGTGGTCCAGAATTTATACTTTGTTTCACTTTATTTTAACATACCTGTGTTTTCTGTAGGTAGTTAGTCATCAGTTTTTTTGTGAGATGAAAGATTCATCAACTTACTCATATCAATGACACAAAAGACTGAGTCCCACACTGTATATGGTGAGTAAGAGAAAGCACTGCTGAGTCAAAAGCACTAAGACTTGCTTAAACACTGCACTAGTCATCCTCATTAATATGGCAGAAATTCACAATGTATAGTACAGCATTATAATCTCAATATATTAAGTGATAAGTAATGTATGCTCAAATCTAACAATGACACAGTAATTAGGGGATGGATGGATGAACTTTCAAGCTTTAAGTGCTCTGGCATGACCTCACTGACGCACTGATACACCATCTCATTAACATTATATATCATATACAGTACGGTAACTTATTCTCTACACTACAATGATGGCTAATTAGCTTCAACAGTAATTTAGTGTACACAACAACAACCATTCTATGAGTATTTAGTTGTGCAACTGCTGATTTCTTCATCAGTGACAACAATCAATATCAACTGCGGCAACACAACATCTCTCTTTAACTCTTGAATTTTAAGGCACAGTAACCCTCTCAGTTCACCAGAATCCTGGATAAACTGGACCCTTGTCTGATCCATTCATACTTTTTAGGGGAAATATCAGAAATTTCTGAAATATTATGATTTTTCAAAAATCAGCCCAAGCTACACTTGCTTACATCAGTACCACATGATGCATTCAGACTCTACCCAAAAAATTCTAAGATTACTAGATTATTAAATATAACAACACATACAAATAATACAGTATACTGTACTGGTTTGGTCTGATGGCTGCCATTCATTATGCAAGATGTCAACTGCCTCAGCGGATGCCATGCACTTGGTATTGTGTTTACTTGCATTGCATTCACATGGCATCCTAAGGATATTACTCAGGAGTCAAGATAAAAAGATGTTCTCTGTCTTCAGTTTTGGAGCCAAGATGAATTCTTATTTCTTGTTCCATATCTTCAGGACTTTATAGTTTCCCTTATCTATAACTATCAACCACAGTTATAGAGGGACAGGTCTGTCATACATAATTCTTACCATACCTTCAAGGTTTTAGTAGTTTTCTTCCTTTAAAATCAAACATGTGCTGACCTTGTCCTTTATCAGAGTGAGGTATAAGTGATTTCTGCCCACTATAACTCAGTACTACCTTTATCTATTTCACTATACAGTACAGCATTCTTCTGCTGAGGTATGGCCAGAGGCTTCCATCCTTACTGAAGACATATACAGTACAGTATGGCCTTTCAACAACCATGGATGGACAATACATACAATTTTCAAGCATTATTACTGGACTCATTTTAACTGAAGGTCAAACAGCGTTGCTTACTGCATTTTCAGGCATTGTGCAAAACTAAGTCTTGGAAACTATGGTACATGAAAATTCAAAACTTATCAATTGAGAATGCATAAACTACAAATACATTTTGCCCTAGGATGCTAGAGACCTTCAGAATGCTGCTGAAGACATACTTGGATTGTGATAAGTAAGATGGACAGGTTCAAATGCCAATGATGAAGAAGAATATTACTTTATACATAAAGGTGGTGAAAAGCTAGAGGTGTTAGTATTCTTGTAAACCAGACATTGGGTAGTTGTGTAAAAAGATATTAGGCAGTGTCAAAGTGTTTGTCAAGTTTATTGCTAAACTGGTAGGACCACAAGGTTTGGGTAATAGAAATAAAAAAGGAGAAAGGTTAGTTGACTTCTGTAAAGAAATCAAGATGATTATAGCAAATATTGTACAGCAGTAGAGTATACAAGGTTTCAAAAACACACTAGTTACCATTACATATGGAATCACCCTTAGGTTAGTGTAAATAGTACTGTCAGTAAGTGAGTACAGGAATTACATTTTAATCTGGTAGTCAGGATGAAACTTTGGAAATCAAGAACAGTTGGATAAATTCAATTTGATTTAGGGTACAGTACTGTAGTAAAACCAAAGATAGGAATAAAATAATATTTTAATATTGTTGGAGTGAAGACTTGAAGAGAAAAAATTAAAATACGAGTCGCATAGATGCACAACCTTTTCGCTTCCGGGGCCACATCACCAAACTAACTCGTAAGCGAGGGCTGCAAGATTTATGAGTCACCATAATTAAATGTTTGAATTACATATTCAAATTCTTTACTCAAATGCACATATATTATTATTTTTTAAATCAACTATAATGCTTTTACTTACACTGGAGATAACCACGAATTTGTTGTCACACATAATTAATTTTAATCTGTAACTTTATAAAAAGGCCAATTACCTATACCATAAAAAATAATGATTAAAAAAAATGTGTTTACCTGGCATATCACGTGACAAGTTTTTCTTAATGTGATGTTTGACATTGTGACTCTGAGATGAGTTTCTTGATGTTTGGGTCAAACTTTGTGGCTTCGACTTGTTAAGATTCAACAGACTAAATGTTTGCTCACAGATGTACGTGGAGCCAAATAAGAATGCATAAATAGCAGCCTTATTTCTCAAATATGGATACTGATCTTTAGGCAAGCACATGTAAAAATTGAGTAAGTTCCCTTCCATAAACTTTGCACGATGACTGTCACTATTCTGGAGATCAGTCAGTTCTAACTGGGCCTCTAGTTCGACATCTTCATGTAATAGAGAGAAGGGATT